GACCCCCGCCCTGCCTCTGCGCTTGCCCGGGACCTGTGGCCACCGTCCGGGCAGCCAGTCTGGAGCTGCCACACCGCTGGGAAAGTGCGTCCTTGGCGAGGAGAGGCAGGCGCTACAGGGCCAGCAGGTCCATTGGCCATGAACTCAGGTGAGGTGGGATGGGAAGGGGGCCTCCTCACTAACACACTGGGCAGGTGGGCGCAGGCAGGAAGGAGAGCCCCAGCCAGGGCTCCACTGGGTAAAGAGTCCAGCTGGCCTGGTACGCCGCCCTCCCCCCCCCCCACTTTGGAGGCAAGGAGGGCGGGTGGGGGCCCTTTGCAGTTCCTCACCAAGGCTAACTCTTCCCGCGATGGAATGCCCACCTACATATAGCATCGTCAGAAATAAAATGCCTGGGGGTAAAATTCCTGCTGCGACAGTCCTCATTTTCATTTTTACCCCATTTGGGGTAATTTACCCCTGTTTCCTGACTATTGCTGTACAGGAAGTGCCCATCATTGCAACAACATCCTACATGGTAGTTAATGTAGAATTATTACTGACATTACAATCATTCTGTTTAATGATGGCCATACAGTATGCTCAGGCATTTCTGCTTATAAATCAAAGCACCATTTTTCAAACCTGCATTTGTAAATAATTGGGAGCTTGGTATATATTCTGCCTCTTCAAATAAAGTGATAAGTGAGAACTAGTTCCACATCCATGATCAGAACTTGATGAGTGCAGCATCAAGTGATAACTTATATTTGTTAATGAGGTGATTAATTTTGAGGATTGTTGTATGAAGGGATTTGATTGTACATAAGGACAATTTGCTTTCCTATAACTGTGGCTGCAGTCCTGTTGGCTTAGCACAGTAAACTAGAGTAGGCCCATTGAATCAGTGGGGATTTTGTGAGTCAACGGTATTGGTTCAGTGACCCTACTCTAGTTGCAACTTTGTACACTGAGCAGTAGGATTTCAGCCTGTTTCTTTGAGTCATCATTTCTCATTTCACACATAAGGGCTTTGCAGTTGCACAGAGCCACCATCAGAATGTTCTACAGCTAAGTTAGTCAGGTGTTTGAGGAAACTCTTCATTGTAGGATGGTGGAAGGGGGATGGAGACAGAGAGTGAGAGGGCTGTTATGCCGTTCTTGCAGCCAGGTATACCTTCAGTGAAAAGACTGACAGGCCAGTAGTTGATTTTTTTTAATTGACTATTGTTGGGGAAAAAACAAAAGCAATGAAAGGGATTATAATACAGAATCTGTTACCCAATTATCCAGCAGGAAATTTTACTTTTTAAATAGTACAATTCATCCCAAAGTCCAGTGATTTCCAACCTTGGGTCCCCAGATGTTCGTAGACTACAAATCCCAGAAATCCTGACTAGCAGAGTTATTAGTGAAGATCTCAGGGAGTGTTCCCCTTCATGAATTGCTGCCTTGTCGTGGCAAAGGGGCTTGAGTAATTCAGAGAAGCTATGGACTATGCCCTGCAGGGACACCCAAGACGGACAGGTCATAGTGGAGAGTTCTGACTAAACATGATCCACCTGGAGCAGGAACTGGCAACCCACTACAGTATCTTTGCCAAG